TAAAATTGTAATAGTACATGGGCCCTAGAATTGATTGTCAAATAACAACGTTTGTCAGAGAAGACATATTTTTAATAGCACTCGTCCTTGATGGGTCTGGTTTACGCACATTTGTAACAATTATTTGTTCCAAATATTTTATATTGCTGCTAAAAAATTGGCATTTCTCCTCACTGAGTTTTAGTTCTTAGTCTTTATTCTCTGGAATACATGTTGTATATGTTCCGAATGTTGCCGTCTAGTTTCACTTTTTATGAGTACGTCGTCCAAATATACCACAGCAAAATCTAAGCCGACGAGCATCGTATCCATGGAAAAATGCTAAGTGCCGAATGCTAGCCTATTAAATCTGTATAGACACTTGTGTGTGTCAATTGTTAACAAATTCCTACATTTTTCACCCATTTCAATTCAGTTAAGTATGCGACTGACAGGTCAATTTTTGAAAAAGATCTCACATTTACTTTGGAAAAAAATTCTTCTGTGAATGGTGACGAATATGTGGGAGGTTGTAGACAATCATTTAAACCTGTAGAGAAATTTGCGCATATATATATTCGCATACACGAATATTATTATTTTACATTTTGACAGACGCTGTTGGATCTGCCCACTCAGAATAATCTGTGTGCGAAATAACTTCTAGTTTTTTTTAATCTGTCTAATTTTTTGTTAATGAGTACCACAAGAGGAACACTGCGTTTAGGTTTAAAAACAGGAACTCTATTTTTCTTTAAGTGGAATATTGCCTTCGCCATTTTCCGAGAACACTCTAAGAAAAATTTTTTTAACTTCTTTAAAAAATCTTTGAGTTTCTATATTTGTTTTAGAGAAGAAGCAATTTACGTACAGACCCCACAAATTGAACATTTCCATCCAGTCCGCACCCAATAAGTTCGATGTATTACTTTTTTAATATGAAGGACTTTGATTTTAACGAAACATTACATGTAATTTCGACTTGAAAACATTTTTTCCTGAGATATACGTAGAACTTTTTGCGGTTTTCGTTAACGTAGGTTCACCAATATTTTTCGAAGTTTTTTTCATTAATTATAGTTTTGACTATAAGTACAACTGAAGTTTTATTTCATCGTTATTTATCTTCATAAATTTTCAGATATTTGAGTTGTCAATATAACTTTTACTGTATTACAAGGTCTTAGATTTTTTTTCTTTGGTTTGATTTTCAATGACTTTATCTAGGGCCCAGTTTTACACATTAGAAACAGAATCCACGTTAAAATGAAATCCTTCGCAACCCTAACACAGGTTCGGTACAGTCATTTCTTACTTTTGTTTTTGACCGTTGGTCGCACAGTCTACACTTACACAATAATCCTTTCTTCAAATTTGACTCTATCATGCCTTAAGCTTAGAATTCTTTGACATTTTTCTAATACTGCCAGTAAAGTTAACTTTGGGTCCTGCTCAAGTCTTGTTAGATTAGGCGATCAAATTTCTACGTTTATACTTGAAGTAAACCATTGCCCCAAAATTAAACATTTCAACGTATCTGGACATATGTTCTTTCAGTTAAAATTTTTCACATCCGCGATTGACACTACTCGCGTTAGTAACAAAATCTTCGTCGTTCTTTTCGTGAGATTTAAGTGTTACCAACGTGTATGAAACATGGAGCTTCTTTCAATGAAAATTTTAGAAAAAATTAAGTTTCATCAAACGTAATATTTCCTGGTTTATAAGTAAAAAATAATTACAAGATTGCCAGCCTTGGCAAAACTCTTTTTTTTTAATTTCCTTCGTACCTTCTGCAGTACCACAAACACACAGCACCTTCTAGGTTTTACAAAAAAATCGCCAATAGAGTTTGCGACCGCATCAGGCGGGGATGAAAGTGTAGTACAGGTTTCAATTGATTTGTGCGACATTGCTTCAAGCATTCTTGTCTGACGTTCCAATATTTGTCGTGTTCGTTGTTGCTGACTTTTTTAGTCATCCATACCGTGCGTTTCTCAAATCCTTAGTTGACGAAACTTCAAAAATCTTTAAAACGTTAGAATTATTATTTTTTAAATTATTTTTTTTTTCAAACGGGTGTTTCGAATCCTCATTGCCACTGTTGTAATGTTCGTATAAGCTCGTGGTTCTGGTTAATAATATTCCAAGCAAAACACTGAAACAAAAGAATAGTGAAAAAAACTGTTTAATCACTTAGACTAATAATACAATAATAGCAAATACTGTAGGCAATGCGTATGACATTTTTCCTATGAGTTGACGTGACTCTCATAGCGAATATGGAAGAGCCGATGTTCAACAATCTAGTGTAGCAAAGATCGGTCGTCTTTCTACAAAATACCTCACTTTTTAAGATACGCATTTTCAAATATTTTTTTTACTTCTAACGAGAACCACGCGACAATATTACAATAACTGAAATTAGCAGGTTAAGGTATTTGGCCTTGGATGCTAGCCAGTCTAGGAAAACTCTGAATTTAAAATGTAGAGAAGGCTACAGAAAAACATTTGGCTATTTCTTCGAAGAAGTCATAGTAACAATAGACAGGTCAGAAAAATAAAAGGAATCAGTGGAGAGCCATAATCATCTACAAATTGAAGAGGCTTCGTATATAGAAAATGCATTAGAATCAGAAATAAAAGTATTGTCAGTGTTCAGGAATTAAAAGCCAGAATCATTCAAAATAAATCTCTATCGCCCTCCAGTCAACACCAAATAATTTTCAGCCCTTTGAAATATCTTATTGATGCTATGAGATTGATTTCTTTGAGAAAAGAACCCCTTGTAATCGTAGGGTAGAAAATATTTTTGACAGCTATTCATTTATAGGATGAGATAAAATATCAAACTGCAACTTAACCATTTCTCCCCCCCACTTTCTCCGGATATTATGTCAGTGTAGGTGAAATATAAAAATATTTTTCTTTTCTTTTTTTTCTTATATGAAAAAAACAAAAGAAAAATGAGAGCGTTCAAAAACGGGGAAGGCTGTAGAGTTGTACATCCGGTTCGTAATCTACGAAAAAAAAAAAGAAAAGAAAAAAAGAAGAGAAATGTTATCATTAACATGTTTTTAAAACAATTAATTCTAAGCATGAAGAATAAGTCTTTCTTTTTTTTTGTTTGCCATCTTTGGTGTCAAAAAGAATAAGTAATCAGAAAACTGATGACGGAAAACGATGCCAACAAATTTCATCAGAGATGAGTCACCGACATTATCTCAACGGAAGTTGTAGATGCCATAAAAATTCGCTGCTCTCTGTCGTAGGCAAACAAAAGCAAACTTAAACATGCTTCTCACGCACACATTCACACACACACACACACATGTTCATTCACTACAAGTCTCAAGAGCCACTCAAAGTAGCCGATTGCTGAATAAGTTATGGCATATTAATGCGCGAGAAAGTAAAAGGAAATGAAAATTATGAAAGCAAGAAGGATAGATAACGACTGACCAGTGAGTTGAAGAAGTTCAGATTGTAACATTCGGGGAAGCATCCACGTACGAATACCTTTTGCAAAGTAGGTCTTGAAGAAAAAGCTACCTTAAGTGGAACTTGTTTCTTATATTTTGTAATACGGGAGAAATGAGGATGATTCGACAATGGGGATGAAGAATGGCGTGTCCAAGCAGTAAATGTCTGAACTGGTGAAACTAAAGAATGGGCATATTTGAATATTTGTCATGGAAATAACAAAGTAGCAAATAATAACAAAAATACTAAAGAACTTTGGATTATTTACCTAACGAGTTCTTTTCCTATTTTCTATATATTTTCATATGTATATATATATATATATATATATATATATATATATATATATATATATATATGAAGATATATAGTTTAATGTATGCTATATTTATGAGATAAAGTGCTCAATATCAGAGATATAGCGTATCTAAATATAAAGTGAACATTGAAGTCAAACTCAGAAGCGACAGACTGTTTTCAGAAAGCTAAACGCAATCATCAGGCCTGATGATTGCGTTTAGCATGAAACAGTCTGTCAATCTGAGTGCTGACTTCAATGTTCACTTATATATATATATATATATATATATATATATATATATATATATATATATATATATAATTTGCAAATAAAATATATTTAAAAAAATTGGTAGCTGGGAGAAATATATAAAGAAAAAGACTAAAACATCTGAGTAAGCCTAAAAAAATCAACCAGTGTCGTGATTTCTAATCCAAAGAAAAAAACCTAATCCATTTAGGTGAGACCTAGGTAGGTATTTTCTGGCTCATTATGATTTTATAATTATATATATATGTGTGTGTGTGTGTGTGTGTGTGTGTGTGTGTGAAATATAAATATAAATAAATATATATATGTATAATTATTTATATATTATATGCGCGGTACTTATTAGAAAGTGCTCAATATCAGAGATAGAGCTAACATATTTGGTTGGATAACGAGACATTTCCGCCACACTTCCAATGTTTAAATTTCAACATACAAATGCGTATGTATAGACACAACACCACCCATATACATACATATGTCATATCTGAAACTGCCCACATATATTTATATATGTATGAGTCCCGACGGACGACCAAGTATGTATATGTGTCTGCATACATCGATGTTTGCGTTAGTACGATGAATGACAAAACGACGAAGTTTCCCCCACCACTTCCACAATAACACCAATACACGCAATCTACATAAACCCAAAATTTTTTAAAACATTAATCAGTTTGTCTGACGATCGCTAGAGCGTGAAACCCAGGGTCACAAACTCACATCTATCCAACCATATATATATATATATATATATATATATATATATATATATATATATATATATCAGTCTGCCCATATCCATGTATCTATTAGTTCAGCATGTTGATGGAGTTACATGTTTTATTAACGATTTGAATGACAATAAAATTAATAGAACTAGTTTCTTTTTTTTTATTTGTTAGTTGATATTGCATGTGTGTACTTGTAAAATCTACAATCTCGCTATAACAAAGATCATAGCATGTTACCCATCCTGCTTCTTCGTCTTTCTCTTCCTCTTTCTCCCACGTCTTGCCGCCTTATCTCGATTACTGTCACTGGAAGTATGATTCCAACCGACAGTAAACTGAGACAGATGCTCAACGACAACGCTCGACCAACTTCTCGGCCCTTTGAGCTCCTCATAAATTCTTCCACACGCCTCCCGCAACATGTAATCGTCGGTGATAGAGCTTCGGTGATAAACTGGCTGTCGAGAAGTTGGAATTTAGTAAATCGCTACACGGCCCGCACTACAAACAACCCCCTCCAAAAATTATTTCAAATCTTTATTATTTTTTTAAAGTGCTTTTTGGGCAATATGCACCTGTAGTGTGAAAATTGAAAAAATCAGCAGATATCATTGGCTAAATACATAACTCGGTTCGATGTTGATTTTAACTTTGTGTAGATTTTGTTTCCCAGATATGGGTTAAATAGCAGGACACTCAAAAAATAGACATCATCGCCCAAGCGTGCTTCACGTATGGCAACTAACGGTATATATATATATATATATATATATATATATATATATATATATATAAAGAAAGAACAGTCAGATTAATAATCCACAGTTTTTTGCATTTATTTTTAAAAAGTGCTCGCTACAAAGTAGAGAATAATATTATTATTTAATAAATATATTTCATCACGACACAGAAATTTCAATGTTTCGGAACTAAAATTATTGTTCCATTTTCAAGCGATATTCAATAACTTCAGAAAAAAATGATTTACTTCTGAAAGCAAAGTAGTATTATATTAAAGAGTTTAAGTAGGACGGGGAATAAGTTTTCAAAATTATTTTTATGGGTGCTGTTTTATTTGATAAATCCAAAAGCCGGATCTAAGTTAAAGTAGAAAAATGAAAAAAAAAATGTAGGTGAGAGGTTAGGTGTGGGTATGTAATTCATGCTTGTCTAGATGAGCCGTCATGTATTAGATATGCTACCATTGCTTCCTTAGCAATGCTGAAATATCTCATCCAAGTTATTGAATATCACTTGAATATGAAACAATGATTTTAGTTCAGAAACATTGAAATTTCTGTGTCGCAATGAAAAAAGATTTTTAAATATATATATATATATATATATATATATATATATATATCCAGTATATGTTCTATGCGTGTCGGTGACAGTGGGTAAAAGTAGCACCTTTGTTACTCGGCTGCTGCACTTATTACTAAGATGGACGACTGGCAACACTGGTCTTCAACCATCCCCTAAATCTCTACGCGGCAAACCCTGTAAACTGCTTCAGCAGGCGGACTAAATCACGTGAAATTACCATCGAAAGGCGCTGCACTCTTCTGGGCACTGGGAGTACTGGAAAGGTATAACTCCGTGATAATAAAACCTGAGGGGTGTTGTTCATTGTGCTCGTGGCAAATATTTGCACCAACTCCTTGTTATCAGCACTTCCAATAAGTGCGGCTGGTTCTACACAAGCCTTCACCACTCTAAACAAATCTTTTGTGTGGATAGTCTGCAGTTCAGTTCTGTGTTCATACCTGAGCAAACAAGTCCACCGGCAAGAGAGTTAAGTCGACGGGGACAGGTACAGGATTAAAATCTGAACTGAAACACATTTATCCGTCGAAAACGACGAGAGAGTCCATCATCATCATCATCATCATCATCATCATCATCATCATCGTCATATAAGTAATGTGTGAATGTAATTGTGCGTGTTTGACTGCGTGGTCAAATATTTCTTTGATCCTAGACAGAAATGGCGATAAACATTTTTTTTCTAAACATTTTCGTCTTCGTGAATTCTTCTCTCCTTAGATCCAAGTAGTATTTTTTTTATTTCAAAATTGTGGCGAGTTTCATTACGGTGAGAAACTAATGCATTTGATGCATTGTTTTGTAAAATGTCCCTTTTGTGTTCATATAATATTTATTTAGATTTCTTGAGCTTTCTTCAATGTATTTTTGTGACAGTTATTACAGGCGATCGAGTAAATTCCCTCTTCAAGTTTTAGCTTATTGTGTTGTTTAGTGTTGACTTTTATTTTATAGATGTAGTAGCAATAAATTTTACTTTTGGTTTAAATAAGTTCTTTTTAAATGTTGCTGTGCTCAGGTTAGTTGATGGAACAATATATTTTCTGATTTATTGAGTTTGTCAGGCGGGCCGTTTGTCTATTTTGGAATATTTAAGGAGACTTTTATTTCGCATTGAATATAAAATAATTAGAATCTTGAAAGTGTTTCCAATGTATTTCTCCTCTTCATGTAAATATTGAGGGCTACACATTCTAAGTGTTCTTAAGTAGAATCCGATGATTATACCGGATTTTAATTTTTGTTACGATTAATGTAGAAATCCATTAGATAGCTTTTGTTGGTTGATTTCCAACGGACAATAAGTTTTTTTTTTGTTTTTTTATGATATCTAGAAAATGTGAAGTATTGTATTCTTTATTTCGGATGTAAATTCTAATATATATTCGACTTTGTTTAGTTTATCTACAATGTAAACCAGTACTACGTGGTTATATTAGTAGAGCATCATTAATATATCAGAAGTATGCTGATTGTTTGGGCAAAATATTTTAGAAAATCCAGATTAGAGAAATTCTAAGATAATACATACCATTATTCCACCAAGAGGTGATCCCATTAGCAATCCAATATTTTATTATATTGTAAATTATTGTATATTATATTTTATTATATTGTAAAAATCATTATGAAATGGAAAATAGCATTGCCAGAGAATGAGACGACAGATTTTTATTAGTTTAGATATTGATAGGGAGAGACATAACTTTAATTGTGTTAGATGTTTTATTAAGAGATTTAGGTATTTTCAAAACCAGGACGTTAGTGTAAATGGATTTTATATCTTGATTTGCCACGAGTTTGTCAGTCATGTTTATTTCTCTAAGTTTCTCTGTTAGGTTACATGAGTTTTTTTGTTTTTTTTTTATGGGAAGGTCTGATTGTTCCAAGAGAAGGGTCAGATTTTTAGTTATGACTTTTACCAGATTGTTGAGGAGGTGGGCGCTATCTATTCTTGTGATGATGTGGCGCATTGGGATACTGTTTTGTGGCGTTTAGCGAGGCCGTAAATTCTGGTCATATTAGGGTGATATTCTATTAGTCTTTGTTTTTTTTTTTCATTTTTAATTAGTTACCTAATCTCCATAAATTTTTTGCGTTTCAGTAATTATTTTCTCTTCGTTGATATTTTCATATGTGTAGATATCGTTGAATAGTGAATTAATTTTTTCTCCTTATGTATTCTTGTTCCTGATCACAATCTGTTATAGCGGAATATTACCTATTCTATTGTAATAGACTCTCCCACACATAATAGTAGTAGTAGTAGTAGTAGTAGTAGTAGTAGTAGTAGTAGCGGTCGCCAGTGGGGCTCAGTGGTGTTGAGTGAGTCAGTCGATGTCGGACATTGAAGTATCAACCATCACAACTAGATTGCTGCGTCATTAACTCTTATTTCAAGTTCCTAACGTTTTGTACGTCGGACCCTTTTAGGACCGACTTAGCGAAATACAAGCCTCCACTGTGAAAACTATTCTACAACACAATCACAATCCCACCACCCTTGTCACAGAGGTAATGTAGATTTCCTTATTTTTTAACAGGTTCTTTAGTCCATTTTGACGTCTCAGTGGTAATGTATCTTCGTTATTGGTTTCTCTAGTAACAGTGATTATGCCTTGAATGAAACCTTTGCTGTCCAAAAACACAAATACCGTATATTTCCGCGTATAAGACGAGCTTTAAATCCTAAAAATTACTCTTCAAAATTCGTTTTTTTATACTATAATTCTAAAAAAAGAAACCTTAAATTCTGAGTGATTTTCGTTGGTAGGCTGACCTCGGCCTTGATGCGATAACCAATAATGTACATGAAAAGATTTACATCATCAAATAAACTGATAATAAAAGTAATTAAACTATTTACCATATATATTACTGACATAACTTCGTAATAAATTGCCTATTCGAAGAATAATTCCATATCAATGAAATCAACTTCTATCCATGCAAGCTAACCTGAGTAAATATAAACATCGAGATATGATTGCGTTCACAGCAACCTTTATCGTTCGTTAAATTTTCAATAATCATCATGGCTACTTAAATACCTTTCAATTTAAACATCTCTTCGTAATTTCTTTGTTTTTTTAGTGCTTCCATTTTTTGATATGCTTACAAGTTAATAAAAAATGTTAACTGGATTAGACTGGTGTTAGGAACAGATTGAATAAAAAAAAATATTGCACCAGACTGCATGTAACCGTTTAGATATATGCAAAGATGAGCAAGACGAAGAAGAATCTGAATTTACAAGAGATCACGTGATGAGATCAAGAGATCACGTGATGAAACCTAAACGAAACAATGGTTTCCCTTTTAGAGGAGGGGTGTAGGAAAAGCATGATATACAATCGGTTATGTTATTTCGCTTATTTCGGACTTCTAAGGATACAGTAACAACATTTCTAATAGCATCATTTTTATATATATATATATATATATATATATATATATATATATATATATATTAGTTACATGTAAGTTTTGATAATATAAAAGTCTCTGACAAAAACGCATGTTTGGCATTCTTTTTCCTTTCAGCCATTCCGTTCCGTCCCGTCCGTGAACAACGATGTTATTATGTCAGCGATATATTAATTCCCATAAAGGGGAGGGGTAATATAAATGGGAGAATAAATCTTTCTTCCGTTACAAATACAATGCCCACTCTATAAATAAATAATTATTTGATTATTTACATAATAACATTGGCTTTTTGCTGTTGTATAATTTCGCCAGTCCTTTGTCCACCGAAACGTAAACACAGATACTTTTATTCCTTATCACTGGCACGAAAATAACCTAGCAGGTATACACCCCTGTACAAATTAATTGCAACAACCACTTTAGTTTCCTTTCTTTCATCATACGGTCAGTTGTAAACCCACTGGAGTGACAAGGTGTAATATATTTCTATTTTTCCTCAGATTAGGTTATTTCTAATGGTGTGCCGTAATATGAATCTATTTTCGGAGTGCGAGATGAAATTTGTTTGGCTTTGAAAATATTGCGTCATACGTTATTGCATTTGATTTTTATTACGTTCAGATACTATTGTTTCGACAGACGATTAGTTGTCCTACAGCCATTGTCTCCACTGGACGTTACTCAACTGTAA